TATTTTTTCCATTAATTTTTTTTTTTTTTTAAGAGAATGGGAAGGAAGAGTAGAGACAGAGAGAAATATTGATTCAAGAGAGAGACATCAACTGGTTGCCTTCCACACATGCCCCAACCAGGGCTGAGGATCATGCAACGAGGTACATGCCCTTAACCAGAATCAAACCTGGGACTCTTCAATTTATAGTCTGATGCTCTAACCACTTAACAAACCAGTTAGGGCTGTTCATTTTTCTTTATTCTTTCACTTTCTTGGACTGGTGATTTCAATTGATCTGTTTCAGGTACGCTGATTCTTCTTCCTATTCAAATCCTCTGTTGAACCCCTCTAATGTATTTTTTTCATTTTAGTCATTGTTTCAGCTCTAGAATTTTCATTTAGTATTTCCAATTTCTCTCTCTCCATTTATATTCTCTGTTTGGTGAGACATCATTCTGGTTTCCTTTACTTCTTTGTGGTTTCCTTTAGCTCTTTGAACAGATTAAAGACAGTGACTTAAATTCTCTATCTAGCCTAAACCAGTTTGGCTCAGAGGATAGAGCGTCAGCCTGCGGACTAAAAGGTCCCGGGTTTGATTCTGGTCAAGGGCATGTACCTTGGTTGCAGGCACATCTCCAGTAGTGGGTGTGCAAGAGGCAGCTGATCGATGATTCTCTCTCATCGATGTTTCTAACTCTCTATCCCTCTCTCTTCCTCTCTGTAAAATATCAATAAAATATTTTTTTTTTAATTCTCTGTCTAGTAAGTCTAATGTCTGGGTTTCCTTATGAACAGTATCTTTCATTTCTTCTTATTCTGTGAATGAATCATTCTTGTTTTTTAGCATGCCTCATAGTTTTTTGTTGAAAACTGGACAGTTTGGATATTATAATGTGATGACTCTGGAAATTAGATTCTCCTCCCTCCTCAGGCTTTGCTATTACTCCTTACTGTGAGCTATAGTTGCTTATTTAGTGACTTTATTGTTATTATTATTGATTTTAGAGAGAGAGGAAGGGAGAGGGAAAGAGAGGAGAAACATCAGTAAGACAGCTCACCATCAGTTGACTGCCTCCTGCACGCCTCTCACTGGAGATCAAGACTACAACCCGCACATGTGCCCCAACCAGGAATCGAACCAGCAACCTCTCAGTGCATGGGACAGCACTCAACCAACTGAGCCATCCCAGCCAAAGCTCTAAACTGTTTTTTTAAAGAATGTGTTTTTTTGTTGTGTGTGGTCACTAGAGTCTCTGTTCTGCTACCTTAGTAGTCAGCTAGTGATTTAAGATACTTTATTTTTTTTTTTTTTTGATTTATTAGAAATAGAGGAAGGGAGGGGAAGAAATAGAAACATCGATGTGAGAACATATCGTCTATCGGCTGCCTCCAACAAGCCCCCTACCAGAGTTTGAGCTACAACCTGAGCATATGCCCTGGTCAGAAATCGAACCGGCAACCTTTTGGTGCAAGAGATGATGCCCAACCAGCTGAGCCACAATGGCCAGGGCAAGAGATTTTCTTAAATGCTTAGATCAAAAAAACAAAAAATTCCTAGTCTTTGAAATTGGATACTGTGTCTGTGTTGGAGCATACCTTCAACACACAACCTGGAAGTTTACAACTCTGGTTTGCCTTTTTTTCCTGCTTCCACAGGGATTGACAATCAACCAAAGGTGAGAGCTTAGGGCCTTCTCAGGTCTTTTCTGAGCCTGCACACTGAGGCATGGCTTTCTAAATTTCCAGGAATACGTGAAGGTTTTCAAAACTCACTCCCAGCTTTTTCTTCCTGGACTTTTTCCCCAACTGACATCCTTTTCAGCTGATTTGTTTGCTTGGAAGTGTTTACAATAAAATTACCAAAGCCATTTCTCTGACCTTTAGAATCCAAAAAGGAGAGAATTTTAGGTCCTATGAAATAACCATAGTTGTTTGAAAACAAACTGCTCTCCTTCCAAACTGGAAGACTTGCTAGATTTTGACTGGAACTATAATCAACCTATAGACCAATTTGGGGAGAACTGACATTTTTATGAGTCTTCCAGCTATAAACATGATAGATTACTTCATTTTTTAGATATTCTTTAATTTCTCTTACTAATTTTCTTATTGTGTATGTGCGTGTACAGGAGTCTCATACATCTTTTTATTGTTTTGTTGTTTTTTATGCTTTATTAAATGATGCTTTCTAAACTTTTATCTTTCTCTGTCTTTTGAGGGCCAGTCAGGGCACAGAGATACTATATGCATTTTAAGTTCATCAGTCATTTCTACTTTTTAGCTGTGAGAAGAATTTTTACCCTTTCCAAATTTTTCTTTTTTCTTCTGTGAAATATAGAAAATTAAAACCGTTCCTTCTCTGAATTGAAAAGCTTGGATTATGTAAGTAAAGTATTATGTAACTCCAAGGAAATGATGGTAATTATAGCTATTTAAGCTTCTAAAATGTTTCTGACCTGTTGTTACATGTTTTACAAGTATTGTTAAATTGTTAGTAATGAACACTCCTATTGGATCAAGAACAAAATAGGGATTTTCTTACCACTCTTATTAAACTTAGTTCTGGAGGCACTAGCCAGCTCAGTTAGAAGAAATAGAAATTTAAAATAAGGAAATTAAGAAGATGGGAATTTAGGAGAATCAGCAGTGTTTGCTACAGTGGGAAGGCAAAAATTTGGAAACAACCTAAATATCTGTAGGGAACTAGTTTCAGTAACTATAGTTTTTTAATACCACTAATCCGCAAGATATATTACTTTGCAACAAAATTTAGGTGCAAAAAATATAAATAATATGCTGCCATTTGTGTTTTATTGTGGTAAAATATATATATAGCATAAAGTGCAACATTTTAACTAGTTTTAAGTGTATGAGTCAGTGACATTAAATCCATTGACAATAGGTACTGTGCAACCATCACTACAATGACTACCCATTTCTCCTTCTCCCAACCCCTCATAATATGTATTCTTGCTGTCTCTGAATTTTGCCTATTCTAAGTACCTCATATAAATGGAATCAATAGTTGTCCTTCTGTTTTTGGCTTATTTCACTTAGCGTAATATTCTCAGGATTAATTTATGCTATAGCATATATCAGAATTTAATTCCTTTTTAAGGTTGATTATATTCCTTTGTATATATTTTTAATATTTGGTTAATTCATTTATCTGTTGATGGACATGTAGGTGATTTCTATCTTTTGGCCACTATGAATAATGTTGCTTTGAAGGTTGGTGTACAGTATCTATATGAGTCCCTGCTTCCAGTTCTTTTGAGTATTTATCAAGAAGTAGATTTGCTACCCTAGCGGGTTTGGCTCAGTGGATAGAGCATCGGCCTGCAGAGTGAAGGGTCCCAGGTTTGATTCCGGTCAAGGGCACATGCCTGGGTTTCAGGCTCAATCCCCAGTAAGGGGCGTGCAGGAGACAGCTCTTCAATGATTCTCTCTCATCATTGATGTTTCTATCTCTCTCTATTCTTTCCTCTCTGAAATCAATAAAAATATATTTTTAAAACCATGTTTAAAAAAAAAAGTAGATTTGCTGGATTATAGAGCAACTATATTTAACATTTTGAGAAACTGCCAAACTGTTTTCCACAGCAGCTATAATATTTTACATTCTCACCAGGGTTCCGGTTATTCCACATCCTTGTCAACACATTATTTTTCTTCTTCTCCTCCTCCTCCTCCTCCTCCTCCTCCTCCTCCTCCTCCTCCTCCTCCTCCATATAATAGCCATCCTAATGGATTTGAAATGGTATCTCATTATGATTTTTTAAAATTTCCCTTATGATTAATGATGCTGAGCATCTTTTGGTCATTTGTATCTCTATTTTGGAGAAATGTCTCTTCAAAGCCTTTGCCTGTTTTTTTTAACTTGTTTTTTTTTTTTTTTTAAGAATAGTTTATTGACTTTTAGAGAGAGGAAGCAATAGTTTATTAACTTTTAGAGAGAGAAATATTGATAGGAGAGTGCAACATTGGTTGGCTGCCTTCTGCACGCCCCCTATTGGGAATTAAGCCCACACCCTGGGCATGTGCCCTTGACCAGGAATTGAACCAACTAGGAACCAACTTCCTAGTACATGATTGACGTCCAGCCAACTGACCCACAATGGGTAGGGCCTTTTGCCTGTTTTTAATTGGGTTATTTGTCTTGTTGTTGTTGTAGGAAGTCTTTATATATTCTTAATACTAAACTCTTACCAGACATATGATTTGCAGGTATTTTCTGGATTCATTGGGTTACCTTTTCACTTTCGTGATAGTATCTTTCAAAGCACAAAAGTTTTTAATTTTGATGAAGTCCAGTTTATCTTTGGTTGCTTGTGATTTTAATATCACATCTTTGAAACTATTGCCTAATAAAAGGTACAAAGATTTATACCTATGTGTTATATTTAGAGAGTTTTTTTAAAAATATATTTTATTTTTTTTACAGAGAGGAAGGGAGAGGGATAGAGAGTTAGAAACATCGATCAGCTGCCTGCTGCACACCCCCTACTGGGGATGTGTCCACAACCAAGGTACATGCCCTTGACCAGAATTGAACCTGGAACCTTTCAGACCACTGGGCCAACGCTCTATCCACTGAGCCAAACCGGTTAGGGCTATATTAAGAGTTTTTAAAAAGAATTGTAGCTTTTATATATAGATCTTTGATGCATCTTGAGTTAATTTTTATACATGGTATGAGATTGATTTCAAACTCAGTTCTTTCGCATATGGAAGTCCAGTTATCCCAGTGCTATCTGTTGAAGAGACCGTTCTTTCCCAGTGAATTGTCTTAGCACCCTCATCTATCAATTTTTCATAAAGTCTAATTGAATCAGTTTATTTCTCTACTATGTTCTATTCCATTGATCTACATGTTTATCCTTATGCTTGCGTATACCCTTTAAATCTTCTGACTTTTGAATAAGATTATTGTATTAATTCAAAAAGAATAAAAATTGAAAATAATTGTTAGCTATGACCACAGTGTACTCTGACTTCTCCCCAATTTGCTCTTTCAGGAAAGTGTGCTGTGTTGTCATTCAAGGACTTCCTCTCCTGCAGACCAACTGAAATACCAGAAAATGACGTTTTGCTTTGTGAGAGCCGCTACAATGAGAGTGACAAACAGATGAAGAAATTCAAGGGACTGAAGAGGTTTTCACTCTCTGCTAAAGTGGTAGATGATGAAATTTATTACTTCAGGTAAAGCTTGAAAAACTAAGGAAGAAAGAACACTTTCTTAATAGTAAAACTGATATCAAAGTAGTATAGTGTAGGGTGTTTTTTTGCTTGTTTTTTAAATTTGTTTTAAACTAGATCATTATACATTTTAAATAGAAAATATTGATTAATTGTTTAAAAATTTTTATTTATTCCTCACCCCAAGAGTGAGAATATTTTTTCCATTGATTTTTTAAAATATATTTTTCTTGATTTTAGAGAGGGAGAGGGGGATAGAGATAGAAACATCAATGATAAAAGAGAATCATTGATTGGCTGCCTCCCGCATATCCCACACTGGGGATCAAGCCAGGCTCCACTAATTTTTAAAGAGCGTGGAAGGGAAGGGGGAGGGGGGATGGGAAGCGCAGGGGAGAAAGAAATATTGACATGGGACACACACATCAATTGGTTGCCTCCTTCCTGCACCCTAACCGGGGCCAGGAATTGAACCTGCAACTGAGGTACATGCTCTTGATGGGGAATTGAACCCACAATCTTAACCCCTGAGCAAAACCAGCCAGTGCTAGTTAAATATTAAAAGAAATCCTCAGAATCTGCAGAGTTGTGGTAACTGCTCTAATGGTGCCTGTTGGCCTAAACTCCAGTAATTATAATGTGGAGGCAAAAATCTTTGGTTCTGATTCATAGTCTGTTAAGATTGCACGGTTCACAAATTACAAAAATTCTTTTCACTACATAGGCAACTAGATCCCAACTTTAGACCTAGTACTTTTGTGGGTATTCAGTAAAATCATTTAAAAACAAGCATCTGGCCCTAGCTCGTTTGGCTCAGTGGACTGAAGGGTCCCAGGTTCGATTCCAGTCAAGGGCATGTGCCCATGTTGCAGGCTTGATGCCTAGTAGGAAGCATGCAAGAGACAGCAAATCAATGATTCTCTCTCATTATTGATTTTTCTCTCTCTGCCTCTCCCTTTTTCTATGAAATATATATATATATATATTATTTTTTTAATTAAAAAGCATCTGTAAGTAGGTGTGACTTTATAAATATACATTTAAGTTATTTTCCTTGCTGACTTAGAGTGTACATTGCTGATTGCAGGCAGTCATTTATAGACATAAAAGCAGAACACTTGCTTTCTGACTGGTTCTGAAGTTTTGTTACCTGATTTTCTTTTTTTGTCACTTCTTTTAGAAAACCAATTGTTCCGCAGAAGGAGCCTTCACCTTTGTTGGAAAAGAAGATCCAGTTACTAGAAGCAAAATTTGCTGAGTTAGAAGGTGGAGATGATGATATTGAAGAGATGGGAGAAGAGGATAGTGAGGTCATTGAGCCTCCTTCTCTGCCTCAACTTCAGACTCCCTTGTCCAGTGAGCTGGATCTCATGCCATACACACCCCCACAGGTGAAGGTGACAAGTTCCTGTTACTTGTCTTATTCCCACCTTTGGTTTGCTGCAGACTCAAACCAAAGTAAAGAGATGTCCAACTCCTGTATATGTGAGTTTCAACCTAGAATTTTGCAGGAAGAAACATTTCATTTTCTCAACACCATTAATTATTTAAAATTTAAATTCTTTTCATACAATGCTGCTTTTAATGGCAAGTTTAGTTAGAAAGTTCTCCTTGCCTTGTGTTGAAGAAAAGCAGCGAGGTACAGCATCATCCTGGTACTCTTATCTTTTATTTCCTCTATCTTTTTAATTTCTACTTTAGGACCTCATTTTTGTGTGTGTGTGTGTGTGTGTGTGTGTGTGTGTGTTGAGGTGATCCCTGTTGATGTTTTTTTCTTTTTTTTTAAATATATTTTATTGATTTTTGTACAGAGTGGAAGGGAGAGAGATAGAGAGTTCGAAACATCAATGAGAGAGAGTCATTGATCAGTTGCCTCTTGCACACCCCCCACTGGGGATATGCCCGCAACCAAGGTACATGCCCTTGACCGGAATCGAACCCGGGGCCCTTCAGTCCCCAAGCCGACACTCTATCCTTTGAGCCAAACCGGTCCCGGCTGGTGTTTTTTTCTCATTCAGAATTTTCTCAAGACTTAATTATGAAGTCACCATTACAGATTACAGTCATGGAATTCAGTGACATTCCCGTTTATTTGTTATTTGATAAGAGGCAAAGAAGAGCTTTGTGTTTTAATCAAGGAAATGGCTTTCTATAAACTGACCATGTTTCTAAAATAGATACTATTGAATCAAAAGTTCCTGACTTCCAGAAACTTTGAGCAGTTAACCAAATATGATGTTCTGATGCACTCTTAAGAGCTTTCTGTCTTACAGTCTACCCCAAAGTCTGCCAAAGGCAGTGCAAAGAAGGAAAGCTCCAAACGGAAAATCAACATGAGTGGCTACATCCTGTTCAGCAGTGAGATGAGAGCTGTGATTAAGGCCCAGCATCCAGACTACTCTTTTGGGGAGCTCAGCCGACTGGTGGGGACAGAATGGAGAAATCTTGAGACAGCTAAGAAAGCAGAATATGAAGGTAAATAGAGACTGTCTCAGCTTCCTAAGCAAGGGGATGTTTTCAGGAATGCATGTGCGTAGACAGGTTTTACTCTCTTATTATTACCACTTGTACATGAACATTGTGCTGAAGACTGTCTCAGATGGCTCCCATCCAGCAATTGAAATACCAGCCTTGTCCTGACTGAACAAGCACTGCCCCTGACTTGGTCTCTCATCCTGAGGTTTTTTGTTGTTGTTTTTTAAATCTCTCAAACCAGAATTTTGTTATTAAAAATTGCATGATTTTCTTCTTTCATTGAGTCCTGTGAGCATACATGTTAAGCTGGGGAATGATTGTACAAGGATATTAAATATAATTTTGCTAAAATTCATCTGAAAGTGGGCTTTCAGTATCAATGGTCTTCTATTATGGCTCTTGATAAGCCAAATGTTTAAACTTCATCCTGAACTTGGCTGAAGCACTTGGTTTCCTAGGCTAGTCTTGGCCTGTGCTGTGTCTGCATTTGTTGTTACTTTTAAAGCACTTGGGGTCTCTTTGGTAAAGCTCATCTGCCTTCATACTCTGTAATGAAATCATTTGGGGCCATGAGCTATATCATTTAAGGATTTGGTGATTCTTAGCCATTAGGAATAAAATACTTGAGAGAAATTTTTTATTTGTTTTTCTGTTTTGTTTTTATTATCAGAGAAGCCTTTAATAAAGAAATAAAATAGTAAACATTAGATTAGGCAGAACTGTTGCCCTTAGAACTGTATTATTTCCATTTGGAATTATATGTAATGGTTTATTTTGCCAGTTTAGAACCATCTCTCAGTGGTTGAACATAGTGGTCCACTATTACTCTGCTGGCCAATTCCAAATCTATTCTTTTCCATCAAACATAAAGGAATTAGTTGTTAAGACTGCTTCCTTTATTTATTTATTTATTTTTAAAATATATTTTATTGATTTTTTACAGAGAGGAAGGGAGAGAGAAAGTTAGAAACATCGATGAGAGAGAAACATCGATCAGCTGCCTCCTGCACATTCCCTACTGCGTATGTGCCCGTAGCAAGGTACATGCCCTTGACCAGAATAGAACCTGGGACCTTTCAGTCTGCAGGCCAACGCTCTGTGCACTGAACCAAACCGGTTTCAGCAAGACTGCCTCCTTTATTAAAGTTTATGGAGTTTCCAAAAATTAAAGGGCTTTTAAAAAAATATATTCTTTTCAGTTATTATAATTGATTGTTTATTATAAAATTACCTGACAGGCTTCTCTAAAGATCTTCTACAGATGCTCAGCTAAAAAGCACTTGTGGCAAAATTAGTTGAGAAGCACTCCAGACATTTTTTTCTCTTGGCAACTTATAGTGCCTATTCTTATGTTAAAATATTTAAGACCTACAGTAAAGAACCTGTGTGTTTTTTTCATCTGGCATTTTCTAAAATGTGGCCAAGTATTCATATATTACCTGTTAATATCCTAAAGAACTAATATTTTATAGAATATACTTTGAGAAACCCTAGTCAGTTTTGCAAAAACCTAGAACTTTGGAGAGCTTTGGTATTTCTGACCTTAGTAAAGGTTAAAACCAAATATATCACTCAGTTGGTAAAGTGTTGGAATGAAGCTAATACTACATGGCTGATTACTCAAAGTGTGAACTGAGAGAGAAAAGTGTCTGGAGAAACTGTAAAAGTAAAAACGCTGGAACAGGGCTGAAAAGAGGAGGAAATGATAGCTCCTGGGACATCGTGCTAAAATTAAAGGATGGCTGAGATTCATGAGAACCAAGTGAGCGTGAGTTATGAGACTCAGCAATGTCTGTCTGAGACACAAAAACTGAACTTTTGTTTTGACTCATTGAATTCAAACCCAAAGTTTGGAGTTTAGCTGGGTTCACTTAATAACTTTCTTTTCTAAGACAGCCCAAGTGGGCTTTCCTTAGAGCCAACAGTAGCCAGTCTTGTATTTGACCCACAGGCCTGAATTTTTCTATTTTCAGCTCCATTTCTTTGCTCTCCCATTTTACTGTATCATTTGTGTGATGAAAATACTAGAATTTAATGTGCGGGGTCTAGATCACTGATAGCTCAAGGAAATAAATAGGTTGTTTAAATGGCCTTTATCCCTCACGTTCATTGTACAGAGGATCTGTAAACTGGGACAGTATTAGTGAGTGATGACAAGTCTATGCAGGCAACTGTGTCAAAGCTGAAGATTTGATTCGTTGGATTTTCACATTCTTACATAAAGGGGGATTGGAGCTATTGCTTCTTGACTCTTTTAAAGCCACGTGACCTCGAATTCTTTTTCCCCTCCATAGATCAGCCAGTGGTAGGCCTTCTGAATTCCATGTTGGAGGGTCAATGTGTAGTAGTTGGAGTGTGATACTGGGAGTCGGGGCCACAGTTGCTGATTCTCTCTGTATCTTTGGACAAGTCACTGCCTGTCTTCCAGCCTCAGTTTGCCCGGATGAAGAGTGGGATAGATTGCTTATTTATGAATGGTGAAGCAAAATAAACCCTGTATTGTGGGAGCTTTGGGAATACACAGTTCTAGAGTTCCCTAGTAATGGTCCAGCCTATTAGCTCTCAAAAAGATGGAATGTGATCATTGGGGCTACAGGCTATGGAGGTTAAGGCAGAGTAGCTCACAGGAGTGAGGGATATAGGAAGGTGTGTTCCAGAGCCCAGAACTGGCACAAGCAAATGCTCCTCTTGCATTTCAGATGAAATAATAGTAAATTTTGGGACTTTTGCTTATATAGGCTGATTTATGTCAGTATTGAACTGCTCGGCTTCAGGAAACCTCGTTCTATCACTATTGTCCATTGCTTCATATGTATATATTTAATTCCCTTCTTTTGATGACTATAGCCTGGAGTATCATGGGGTGTTTTTTTTTCCATTGGGGTTTATTAAACATGACCTCTTTGCTTCATTAGAATGTAGAAATTAGCATTTAATGTCTCTAAAACCTGTGGAGAGGCAGTGAAGTACTTTTCCCTTACAGAGTTAATTTTCTTCAGCTGCTAAAATCCCATAACACTAATAACAGAGGCCTCAGATCTTAATAAAATTGGGTGCAAGGAGTCAGGAAAATATAGTAAGTAACAATTGTGCCAAAAATTATAATGGGCCATGGAATTGCTTCACGTTGAAATTATAAATAATTTGCAATGCTTTTAATACTAGAATAATGGTAGTGCTTCTCATCTTCAGGGTGCCTTGTGAGATTAACCACGTTGGTTACGCTGGTGACGTGTTTAAATAAAACCTGTGCTTTCTGAATGTGTGTTGCAGTCTTAACATTCTTGAAATCTTTGCAGACCAGTTCTCAAGATGGGATAGGAAAGCTGGACTCTAGTTTACCAAGTGAAATCGGCCCGAATCCTCCTGTGTTGAGACTAGTCATCTACTGTTCCTTCCATTGAGACAGAACTGTTGCCTGTGTTTTTATTAGTCCTGTTGAATGCAATGGATGGTATTTTGAATTCCTGGGTTAAAAACAGAATTGAAAATCTGAAATGCCTTTACAGAGCGGGCAGCTAAAGTTGCTGAGCAGCAGGAGAGAGAGCGAGCAGCACAGCAACAACAGCCGAGTGCTTCTCCCCGAGCAGGCACCCCTGTGGGGGCTCTCATGGGGGTGGTGCCACCACCAACACCAATGGGGATGCTCAATCAGCAGTTGACACCTGTTGCAGGTAAAAACAGGAGCTAAGACCATTTTTTTTCCACTTTAAGAAATTCCTTCATTTTTTTTTTTTTCTCCAATGAGGAGTAGGCCACAGTCTGTAGGCTTTCCTATGAGAGATTTAAAGTTTGAAATCATCCATGTTGTCCTTACATTGCCTTTCCCATATGGGCAATGCCTCCCCTCTGCCCCAGAAATGGGCCCTGAGCCCAATCCTGGGAATTGGTAGGGAGCTAGGGAATTGGTGGGCCGAGCCTAGCGCTCTTCTCCACCCCGGACTGCTCTTGATAGAGCATTATAGCAGAAACTATAAATAGACCCTGAATTCTCTTCTGGAGAGACATCCAAGAGAAAACACAAAACTATTCTTTAGGTGATGTTGACTTTTCCATCTCATTCCAGTATTCAGTTTGCCTTGTTCTGCTGCAGCCATCCTTTAAAAGACTGACCATTTAAAAGGATTTTTGACAACGAATTATAAATCCTTTTTTGGTCACCAGTGTGCATGACTGCTAAGTGGAATACAAAGTCCTATTCAATTCATTGTGCCCACTCTGTAATGCTTTTCTATTTAATTACATTAAACTGCATTTTCTGTTAGTATCCCAGTCACATATTTAAAAAAGAAAAAAAAAATGATGAATGTGGTTTGTCTGTGTGTGTTGTCTCTTGATCTGGTAACCATAGCAAATTTGGCTCATCTAGAATTGGATATCGTTGTCTGACAAGCCTCCAACAAGAAGCCTGCAGACCACTTCTTGAGTCCCTTCTTCCTGATTTCTCTAAACCTGGTGAGGTCTATACAAGCCCCCTTTCTCCTTAAGCAGAAGCATTCTGACCTCTTTTCCAAGGGAGTCGAAGACAGTCTTGTTCAAGGCAGGCTCCATTGAGATGCTGTTTTTGTTCTTGTTTTTGCTTTTTTTTGTATTTGCTTTTTGAGGAAGAGTAGCATGAGCTAACTTTTCCATTATTGCTCCTACCTTTCATGATAGCAAGTTCTCAAATGCACTGTCGCTGAACTAGCATTTGCACTCGCCAAAGCACGTCTGAATCATGGCTGTTCAGTACTTTCAGTGTAACTGATGTTGATCTAACAAATCTTGTAATTGCCTGCTCTATTCCATGGCCCATTTTGGTTAATGGGGTTCCAAAGGTTTTAGAAATCAGGCCTCGAACATGGGGACCTTGAAAGTTAGAATTCCCTTATTGAAATCCTGTTTTGTTCTATTTGATTGTGATATTGTAGCACTGTGCCCTTGACTAAAAAGCCCAGGAACACATTAACTAAATGAATTCAAACAGCTAAAAACATAAAAAGAAAAAAGAAAAAGAAAAA